ACAAGATGCAGTCATCTGCAAAGCTTTGAATCGCAACTCATCTTTGCTGAGTTACCAAAAAAATTCAAAAATTACATTGAGATTACATAAATGCCCTAACCCTGATATTTAACATTCTTTATAAAACTAAACCCACTCATGTGGGATTCATTACTGAAAACCTCAATTGCTTGAATTATAGTCCTTTTGCATGTAACACTACACCTCCATCACAGCATCCATATAACATCTTTGAGGAATAAAAATCTTACATTTAGTTGGAAAACAAAGTTACAGTTGACTGGAGAGGAACTGTGAAAGACAGAGTTACTTTACAAAGTAAAGTATATGTTTATATACCAAAACTGGAACAAAAGCTAAGAGCATACAGACACCTCCTATGTAGTTAGAAATGTATTGAATCCCTATATCTAACAAACAATCTACCAATGATTCAGGTGACTTTAGCTATTACAACTTAAAATAAATTCAATCAGTGAAATAGCCTCACAATTGTTCATGCTAAAGAAAGACATATGTTTTTTTAATGGTATGATTTTAATTATGGTTATATTTTAAAAACTAACGTATCTATTGTGCTGATTCTTGTGGTGAAACCAATGTAGTCTGATTGTTCCTACAAATGTTAGAGAAATCCGGTTATGATTCGTGTGTGTGAAAGAAAGAAGAAGAGTCCTGAGTCCTGTGGTACTGCCCCCATTCATGGTGCCTGGACATTAACTGTTATTTCTAAAAGCTGTATTTTTAATCCTTTGCTTATCATTTGTTCCCCCTTTTTTTAAATTTACATTTTAAAAGGTTTTAATAATTTTGGATATACAATGAAACTTTATTGCCATTATCCTGGACATGATTCCCGTGTCCGTCTCACAGTAACACCATTAAAAATGCCTTATTTAATGGTAAAAACATTTTCCACTTGAAACTAGGACACAAAGTGAGAGCAAACTCAGCTATTTTTGTAGGATGATGGATTTCCTAAAAATAAATAAATAAAATGTTTTCATTCCAGCAGAACAGCCAAAACATTTTGGCAGAAATATGAAGAACTTTTATGAAGGCACTCTGCCAAAACACAGCATTTCCTCTCTCGTCTAATAAATCCCCCCTCACCCTCTGAACACGCACCGCTCTCCACTCGGTATCTTATATGTCATTTTATTTTCTCTAATTGCTTAGTGTGAGACAAGATTATAGGAAATGTACACAACATTTAAACTGCTAACAGGTGAAGGGAGTGTTACTGCTCATCATCTCATCAGATTCTTTTTTTAACAGATTCTAACTTGGCTAATTTTAGACTCTAATAAAAAAAACCAAACAGCTCTTTCACCATTTCTGTTGCAGAATATTAGTGATCAGACTTTTTTGAAAACATAAAAGCACGATAATAAAACTTGCGCACAGAAAGACACACACAGATACCACACACACCACAGGCATCACTACCACAAATGAATTGTTTCTCTCATACAGGCACATTCTCATGTGACCTGGCTCTCACATCATTTACCTACTAAAAATAGACTAGCTGAGCGAGTAAAGCCCTGTGAGAGTAGTTACTCTGTATCCTCTCAGTTAGTATGAAAATTACTATTTCCTTTCTTTATTTCTTTTAAATGAGCTGAAACACTCATTCCCCTCTAACAGTTACAATCATGCTGTAAAAAGTACTGCAAAACCTATTAAAAACAACACTAAAAACTATTTGCAAGAATTCCCATGAGGGATGTCATACTCTAAGCTCACCATAAAAGACCTGTGGTGTTAGGGGCAAGGTAGGTGATGTGTTTGGGGTAAGTCACCCTTTCCCACCATCAGCCAGCCTCTTTGACTAAATTTGACACTTGATGTCATTTCTCCACGCAAACCGTCTTTCCATCAAAGCATTTAATACAAACTAGGAGGGAACTTTATGCTGTTATGGTAAGGCTTATTCATTACAGGGGCTGAAACTAATGGGTTTTTTTTTTCATGGATTAATTTGCGAAGTGGTTCCCGAACTTGTGGGCTGAATACAAATGAATCATGGTTCTGCATCACTACTAAGGCATGGACGAGTTTGGAAAAGAAATGCCAGGTAAAGGCAGTGACCACAAAAAACAATTACAAAAAAAAAAGAAACCACAAACAGGACAGATCAAAATTCAGCGTGTTCCTTAAAATCAGAGCCTGACTGATGTATTGATAGGCTTATGTTACTTTTAGCTATGTGCCGGGTGTTGATGTTGCATATATAGTTTCTCTGCAACATCCCTGGTGGCAACATGATTTTGGAACATCATAAACAGCAACAGAGTGTAAATAGGAACATAAATAAGTACGTATAATGAATGTTAGGGAAATCTGGTTATGATTCATGTGTCTGAAAGAAAAAAATAGCAGACAATATTTCAGAATATTGGCTTTTAAAACCACCAAATATTGGTGTAAGTCTTAAAATTCCTATATAGGTTGAATTCTACTCAAAATTTTAACAACTGACTGTGAGAAAGCAAATAAGTTAACAAAAAAAAAAACATCTTGGAGACTTCCCATCTTTCACAACAAGTTTTAGTAAGGAAAGGATGTGCCTAAAAGTGAGTCTATGGAAGCTGGGATCAGAGGATTGAAAATAATCTCATTTCTGAATGAAAACTCTGCAGGAGAGGTTTCAGAACCACTGAATCAACCAACCAACCATTTTATCTGGTCTCCAAAATGTTAACATAGTGAAAAAAAAGTAATTCTGCATAAAAGCATAACAAATGTTATTAAAATGTTACATTAAAGCTTCTAAAACATTCCTGTGCCTTCTGTCTAAACTGCATTTTACACTTGGAGTGAAGCAACTACGCCAAAACTCCAACTATACCACTTCAAAAACTGGTGAATGGCAGATTTGCAGATCTTGCCTCCAACTAAAAGTGACTAACAGCAAAGTGAGAAACAACAGAGGAGTTGAAAAAAAGATTTGTTCAAATGAACCCTGTGTCTAGGCTGTTTCAGTGCAGGACTACTGGACAGGTTTGAGCCATAACTTATGCATCTGTATGGATTAGTGGTCTTCATCCCATATAATTACTAAATCACTGATTCTAATACAATTTGGGATCTTTGTTGAATGTCCTATTCACTCCCGCAGTGCTTTATCAAATAAAGGCAAAAGCCTTGGCAGTTTAATTAAACAGCTGATCTCCAAGACGTTTTTATATGTACTGTTAAATGTATTCTACGATTTTATGATTTGAATATGGAATTTAGGCAGGTGGTCTAAGTAACAACATACTCAAAACTAGGAAATCGTACTATGAGCAATTCAAGCATGCAAAGAGGCCCCCCCCCCCAACCCCCCAATATTAGCTAACATTGTTTTTAAATAATTTATTGTTTTATTAAGAAAACAAGTGGTGGACTAATGAATAAGAAAAATAAGCCTCTCCAGGTCAGAAAGAAAATAGTACAGTGAGTCAGCCTGGATGCGTGTTTCTATTTTCTGTCTTTAAAATCTTTGCAGCTGCTGAAAATGCTGTATCGTGACGTCACTGATGCTATATCAGTTTCGATTTAAAGGAGCTCCATTTTGCTAATTGTTATTCTTTGACATGAGTAGCTCTGCATGAGTCACAGTTTAAAAATAGTCGTTATTTATGTTATACTAGGCCTTCCTGCAGCCCCTCAGTTCAGCTCTGTCTGAAACAAGCGCTTTTAGCTCAGTTTCCCACTCCCCTCACAGCTGATTTATTTATTTATTTTGCTCTGGTCATTTGGCTCTTGCAACACTAAGATGTGAACAGCAGGTGGGCGGGGCTTATTTAACAGCCAGAGGTGCTAGATTAGAGATGCTCTGCTCTCTCTGACATCAAAAAGGGCCAAGAGTGCAAAGACCGTCCGAAACTTGAGGTTTCGGCTCATCGAGAATACTTGCACATGTGCCGATCACATTGCCTGAAACTATCCACCGTTATTACAGCATCCATCCATCCACTTTCTGAACCGCTTTTCCAACTAACATGCGCTACGCACTCTGGACATGCTGCTAGTGCTGATATCTTTACTCCTATAGGAAAAATATATGTAAAAAATAAGAAAAAGCATAGCTGGTCCACTTCAAAAAGACTAAGTCCACTCATTTCCTGTCAGTTACCTAAAGTCTCAAACTTGTACTGTATGTTTCATCTTCTTTCTTTTTTTATACACAAGATATAATAGTGGGCTACATGAGAGTGTTCCATCAGTAGCAGACCGACCTGTCCTGACAATTACAGCTTTTTCCTTTGCTGTCCTGTTGGATGAGCCATAGGCCACCCATATATGGTCAATAGTAATTAGAGAGGGAGAGTAGGAGAGAGTCATTTCCTCTCCCTTCTGGTTGCATGGTGCTTAAGCCTTCAAAATGCTGACATCAGCACTCAGCTCTGACTACAACGACCGAAAACACACACACACACACACACACACACACACACACACACACACACACACACACACACACACACACACACACACACACACGAGTTCAGTAACAGGTTTGAGCTAAATGCTCTATTCAAGATGCACCTTAATCAGCAGCAGCATCAACATGATTGCCACTGCGGGTGTCATGACAACCGCCATCATCATCAAGATCATCTTTCATTCCATCAGTGGACTCAGATAAGCCTGCGGCCAGCAGGTTAGGAAACAGCAGCGAAAACGAAAAGAGAGAACGAGATGGAATCATGTGTTCCGTGAAGTACCGCAAAACACACACCGCACACACTGGAGATCAACACAGCATGTAACACTTCACAGTACTGCAAAGAGAAAACAGAAACCATCACATATTACACTCACACACACACTGTACATCGTACTGCAAATCACCACACCGGCTCTGGCATCCATCCTCCATTGGCTAGTTCAGCACCAATCCACTCCACACCACACTAGGCCACACCTAGCCAATCATTCCAACACACCACACAACATAGCAGCGGCGATACCTTGGCAGTCTGCTTGGCATTGCTATGAAAGGATATGGCCATTCGGTGATCTTTTTGGCGTACTTCCTCACCACGTTGTCTTCGCTGAAGAGGAAGAGGGAGCGGTTGACCGTTAGGCAGCTCTGCCGGACGGGTATGGGGTTGTACAGGGCCATGGTCCGGGCTCTCTGGGCCATCGACTGCTTGTACATCCGCTGCGCTCCGGGGGGCCCCCCTTGCCTGCTGCCGCCACGGCCGGGGCCCCCTTGTCCGCCGGCACCCCCGCCACCACCGCCACCACCACCTCCTCCTCCTCCTCCTCCATACCTGTTGGGTAGCTCGTCTCCAAAACGCGCCATTCTGCAGACACCAAACGCCAGAGGTTAGGAAGGTGCTGGGGGGGAACCTCAGAGTGACACCTCCACATGCCACCACCCCATCAGCCTCGGCTCCAAACACACATGCAGAATGGAGATGGGCTTTCTCTGGCTTATCTCGAGTCTCTTTTCTCCTTCTATCTCTGTCTCCTTCCCAGATCTTCAGCGCCGAGAAGATACCTCCATTTGTGATTGGAGAGGGAGGGAGGAGGGGGAGGAGGAGGAGGAGAGGGGAGGGTGAAGAGGAGAGGGAGAGCGCACGGTGTCTGTGATCGTGTGTTTGGAATATGAATGGAAACGGAGGGATGTATTTCTGGAATTTCTGGAAAATCAGTTCTCTTGTAGAAAAAGAAAAAAAACCTGATTGGTTTTAAGTGGTGGCCAGAAATTTGTGAGAAAAAAGGGAAAATCTTGTCACACAATCGGCGTTTTCCCGTTTTTTGTTGATGTTGTTTTTTGTTTGTTTGTTTGTGTGTGTTTATTTTTATTTATCTTTTTGGTTAAAACCCTCACCAAGAGCGAATGGCTTCTTGCTTTTCATCGGGCAAACAAAACACCGATCATCCTAGAATAATGCCATAAAGATGCATAGCTGTGCGTTTGAGTAAATATTGCGATCATCTCCACTAAGTAGGCTATCCTAGTTTGAGACTGCGTCTTTCCCCCCCCTCTCTCACCAGCCTAGTGCATCTTGACAGGATCTGCAGTTGTCTTCCCCCCTTCCCAAGTCCTCCTCCACCTCCTTTTTTCCCGGCGGTGATAAAAATAGAAATAGATACGAATGAAATTTTTAATAATTCATTTAATTTTGTTCCATAGATCTGCAACGTTTGATATGTCGCGGCAGAAAGTCCCGCTGCAGCCTCTCACTGCCACCACACTGCTGCTCGGGTTACACGCAAACGCCAGCCGAGGGGGGCTTCCCCAAAATCCGAGCCTGGTGACATTTGTTGATATTTGGTGATGGACGGTGCGGCATCCCTCCTCCCCCTCCTCCTCCGTCTTCTTCTTCTCCCCCCCTCCTCCTCACCGCCAAGGCGTCGGTCGCCGATTTTGGGCGTGATTGCACGCACTTGGAGAGGCAAAAAATAAAAAACAAAAAATAATTATATATAAAAAACCGCTTTTAAAATACACCGGTCCTCAGCCCGCCAATTTATGTCTTTTCCCTGCGCCTCGCTTCGGAAAATAAAAAGAGTTGATGAAAATTAAAAGAAAAAAATAGTGTCCACAGCAATCATCTATAATCCAGTGTCGGGAGAACAAGAATCCCGGGCGAAAGGGATCCGGAGGAGCAGAAAAAGAGCGCTGGGGGAGGCAGCATCATCACCATCATCAATTCTTGGTCTGAAAACACGACGGTGGCGTTGCGGGTGTTCTGTAGCTGCAGCTCGCATCTTCTCCTCCGCCACCGGGCAGAAACTGTGTAAGATCCCCGCCCAGCAGCATCGCCCTCGAGCCTCCCCGAACCACAGAGAAGCGGCCAGCCCCGCAGAGCCAGAGCCCAGCGTCTGTTCTCTCTCTCTCTCTCTCTCTCTCCCTCTCTCTCTCTCTCTCTCTAGGAGTCTCTCCCTATCGTTCTTTTTTTTTTTTTTTTTTTTTTTTTTACTTCTTTCCTCCTTCGACCCCCAAGGGGGACGTGAGGCAACGCGCAGTGGGTCCGGAGGCTGTATTTCCGTGGAGAACAGTCGTGGAAACGAAGAAACACGACCAGCCGAGCGCTTCAGTGGCTCTCCTGAGTTTAGTCAGCCGTCGGTGTTTAGCCGCGCGCTGAGCATCTGATCAGTCAAACGGGAACCGAGCGCCGCGCACATATCGGAGGCCAAGCCTTGCAGCGCACGACGCACGGCGCCTCCCCGGAGCCTCCCCCTCTCCAGCCCACTCCCCATAGCGCACGACGGAGATGTACGGGCGACACTTTTAGGTACGGCATCTCTCGCCTTAACTTTCAGCACAGTGAGTGAAAAACTTTTAAGTGTGTGAAGATAAAATCAGGAAGGCCAAAAGACAGACTTCTGGAAGACTGATTTCCCACGAGCACATGATAATCATGAAACCACCGGTGTTAGGATCACTGGAATTTACACATGCGGAAGGCTTCCATTGTCAGTAGCCAAGTGTCAAAAGCACCAACGGCGCAGTCCAATTCGCCTAGTTCACTGTTTACTCAAACCCACCCGGCTGAGCACAAGGTTTTGCCATGGGCACAGACTAGCTTGGGGCACATACAAGGAATTTATCTCCAGACAATTTCAGTCTAGCCTTCCAGCAAATAAAAGCAGGAGTCTTTCAGTATGTACAAGGATGATTATTATTTATTTCATTATCAAAAAAATTCTTATGCAACTACTTTTTACCCCCCCCCACCCCACCCATCCAACTGTACAAACAATTATGTAATCCTGTACTAAGCCAAGTCTAACAATAAATTTAAACTCAAATGGACTTCCGCGGACAACAACAGCAAAAAAATCTACCGTGATTATGCTTTTTGTGGGCATAATACCTCTCATGTTGATTGCCAGGGGGAGAGCTGGGAATTTAGTGTTTGCTTTTTGTGAACGTACAGTTATTTTAAGGACAATTTGAAAGAGTTTTTATCTCCCTTCAATCCTCCCTTCCTCCAGGCCGTCTGTCAGTCTGGCTCTGGCATCTGAGTTGTCTTTGAAACGATTCAGCAATCTGTTTGCTTGGGCTAAACCAACCAAGCTGTCACCTCTCCAGAGCAGGAAAAAGAAGGAATTCCATTCAAAGTAATTTTTAAAGGTATTTTTTATTTATAGGTCTGTAAAGAAAATAAGGTGTTTGGTCACTTAAGCAATTTGATGCTATCCTTGGTCCTGAAATAGGCACTGACAAGCTTCCAAAGGCCTATTGGCGCTGTCCAAAGTGCTGAAACAACACTACAAAGCACCAGACTCCAGCCCAACTCCTTTGGAAGGAGATTACTGCTCAGGGTGGGTTAGTTACTGTACCTGCTGCCATCTGTTAAATACTGAGAACTATTTGCAAGTTCTGCTTGTTGTTTGTCTCCTCTAACAGCTTCTTTGGCTGGTAACCACCCATCATTAGGAGGTCTGAATCTCTTCTAAAAACAAACAAAACAACAAACAAAACAACAACAACAACAATAACAACAACAACAAAACAGTCCGCGCAGAACTGAAAGTGGGCCATATGGTGTATTTTGGGGGAAGATTATGAAGGCAAACGGTGAAAGCCAAAAAAGTCTCACCAAACTTCAGGGAAGGGAATGCAACACAGTGGAGTTTAATTTTCTCCCGTGTGTGCAAATGCAGGACTGGTCATCATATGAAAAGTGCACGAAAAGAACTGAGTGTCAGCACTCTCGCTTGAGTTGGAGATTTTCACAGACTGGTGATATTAGGTAAGACAAACTAGCCAATTATGTTATCGAGAAAGGCAGAAATGATTGGTGCTACAGTTTAATGCAGCCATGTTCTAATCAAATGGAAACACTGCGAAACATAAAGCAAAAAGAGGAGCAGCGAGTCGGTGGACTTGTTCGGCCGTTCACGTGAAAGTATGGATCAGACAAAAATAAATCTCGTGAATAAATAAAATGCTACACATAAAACTCATTTATGTGTTTTTATCATAGTCCCTAAAGATTATTAAGTTATTTATTTTACTTCTAGCTTGATTGCAGTCTTGCCCTGAGGTCATATAATGTATGTACACGCCACCAGCTGTAGGCTCCGAGTTATGCTAGTATTTCCAAGATGCCTTTTCAACGTCATAATGTCTGCATGACTGGATTTGCTCGTCATCTGCTTCCCGCAGACTGGCGGCTACTAACAGCGCGCGAGAGAGTGTGTGTCGGGAAGAGGTGGGTGGCGGTGGAGAAATGCTCGGGTGGGGTTGGGGCTGGTGGACAAGCTTGACTGTGATTTTGCGAAATCACGGAAACAAGCCGTGGGTCAGAAGACACATGACACGCTGGCCTATCACTTATTCATGATGAGGACAGACGGAGCGGAAGGTTACGGCTGGACACTTTTTAAAAATCTTTCTGCACGCTGGCATGTCTCGGTTACTGCTGCTGCTGCATGGCCATACAGCCTTTCCAGGCTGTACTCCTGCAAGTGTGTGTGTGTGAGTGTGTACGCGCTGCTGAGGGAGTGAGGCCCTGATGCGCAGCATTGTCATTCAGAGAGCGTTCACACAGGCTACCCCCGCAGGAAGCCCTGGCACCTCCCCCTTGAAATGACGACCCCCCTCACTCCCCCCCCGCCCGTTCTTTGATCTCACTCAGCAGGCCAAGGCAACAGAGCTGTGTGAGAAGAAGTAGAGAGAAAACAACAGCAGGGATCAGGGCCCGTTCACGTTCTGATCAGAAAAAATGAAAACAGGGTATAATTTACTGAGAGCGCGGGCAGTGAGAGTTTTACACTAAAATTAGATTTACTTTGGAGCAGACATCGTGACAACTTGTCCGAGCGAGGTACTTGAGAAAAAAACAAACAATTCTGCTTTATAAATGATTCATTCAACTGAATCTGAATATGAAGTGGTTCTCTTGAATGCAGACTGGAATTTTCATTCTAAATGATGGCAATCCAGACAGGCTGGACTGAAAAGATGTCCTCCATCATTGACTAAAGTAAAAGTTGAGTGCCAGGCCTCTGGAGCCAGCAGCAGTTCATTCTATTCATTGACTGCTGTAGCTGCAGGTGTAGTCACGTGGTAAAATATAAATAAAAACAGAATGCAATGATGTGTCAATCTCATGAACCCATATTTTATTCACAATCAAACACAGAAATCATATTAAAAACAGAATCATCTCAGCTTTTATAATATGACATATTTCTTCTCCTTTGGCTGCTTGATCACAGTGGATCCAACCCTCCGCATATCTTTCTTCACTGCATCCATCAACCTGCTCTGAGGTCTTCCTCTTTTGTACCTCCTGCCTGGCAGCTCCTTCTTCAACGCCCAATTCTGGCTCACTGACTTCTC